CCTACGATAACTTTGTTGGATTGAAAATTTCCAGGCCTATATCTCCGCTGAGTATGGTTGCAGGAGTGACTAAAGCTTATATGAATTTGAAGCCAGATAGAAGCTTACCCTGGGACTGTGGGAAGGTGAGAAAAATTTTAAGCCAAGGGATTGTGTTTTAATTTTGTATTGGAGGAATAGAAGTTTAGGATTAAGTTGCAGAAGCAAGATTAAATAGTAGGAAAACTGAAAAATTAGAAGGGCAGAAATGCTGAAGTGAAAGAAAATTTCGCATCGTTCCCCTTTTCAGGATGCTACTTGCCTAGTGACTATGGATCGAATGAAATCAGATGACCAAATTGTCCTTAGACGCGATGACGCCAACGGTGAGCTCATACCAATGTCCTATCGTTCATTTTGTAGTATGTAATTAGGCTAACGTATGATTATGGAGGTGCGCGTGTTCCTAGCTAGTCAGGCGAATTCCTTTAGCCATGAAGCTCTTACATTTGAATCGTCATTAACTACTGCTTGTTAGTGCACTTTATAGCAGTGGAGCATTCCACAATGTAAATTTTAAAAAAGAGTGCATCTCAAAGCTTTAAGTGCTTTTTTATAAAGATTTTCATTAAATTCAAAATAGTTGCCTTTTGAAAATGAACCGTTTTGTTCTCAATCTCCTCCCAGCGCAATTTTATTGGGTTGAGAGGACTGGTTAACTTCATGCCTTTCAGCAGTAATAAAACATGATATACTAGGTACTCTTGCCGCTTGATGTTTTTTTCAAAAATTGGGTTGAGTGTAAGAACTCAGGAAACCACGCTGGGACAATTCTAGCACTAAACTTTACTTGATCGCAAATCTCTTTTCACGCTACAAGCACTTCTGAGACGCGGAAAAGGACATTGTTTTTCAAATGAACTTTCAACTTTTCAAGACTTAAATGGAAATATTGAATGCCCGATAAGCTAATTTGGCTTTTCTAAATCAAGTTACGTTTTCTGGGAGATTTCCATAAGCTTATCGTCATGTTTACTTCTATCTTGTACGGAGGAACTAGGTCTTTTTCTGTTTACTTCGTTCCCTAAAGACTTCATTCCATACCTTGAACTTACTGAAGTATGCCTTCTACCTCATTCTCTGAATCTTATCCTATATAAACCACCTTAACTTGTGAAACACTAGATATGCTTTGAAAATTTAGTATGACGTAAACAATAAAGTTGCTTACGACCAGGATTATTTACGACCCTAGCGAAAAACCAGACAAATTTCTTCCGCTCAACAGCGGTTCCACTGATGAGATTTTTGAACAACGTACTACACATATCGGTGAGTGTGCTTAGTTGTCTGGTGGTATGGATAAGTTGAGCAAT